GGCCGGCCATATATAGAGGGTCCAATTTGCCTGGCCGTGCACAATCTTGTGATTTTTTTCTTTTTAATAACTTGATTCACACAACTACATCGGACAAAATACCTTATGCAGCAAGTTTAAACTGTAATTTCCAACACAACAAATTGGACTCACCCAAATTTTCGACTGTACAACTGCAGTCTTTGTCAAGGAATGAGCAATCCGCCGCTTCCGTGACGTCACGCAGATAGCACACGTGACTCCGTGAGCAGTGGATCATAGGTTGCAGAAAGTCTGTGGCGCCCCCCGTCTCTGTTGTCATTCCTTGACAAAGACTGGATGTGTACAGTCGAAAATTTGGGTGAGTGAAATTTTCTTGTGTTGGAAATTACAGTTTAAACTTGCTGCGTAATGACACAATACCTCATTGCACCATTGACATGTTACAAAAGAATTACAACAATAAGTAGCTACAAAACTTAAACTACAGATGTACAGCAGTCTATTGTGAATGACTGATAGTCCTGTGCACTTTCGAACTCCAAACGCCGAGTCCAGACGTTTCCAGTCACAGACAGGTGCGAGAAAGGTCGGCCATTACGAATGGTAACCATTCCTTGTGTGAAAAAAAAACAACTTCAAAGAGAATAAGAACGTATGCTTTTGAATGATATAATATATCACCACGCAGACGGAATGTGTACTGTTTGAAGTGGGATAACTCAAGAACTTGGAATGGTTGTAATTATGTATTCATCATATTCCTCAGGGCAATATTGACCGCGTCTATACTTAGTACAGCTGGGTAGCACTGTAACGAACAGAATGTGGTTCCAAACGTTTCTGAGGTATTCATTCGAAGGCGACTGGATTTGGCAGGTTACATAGATAAATGGCTTGTTCAAAATATTATAATCGGTATCTGTATCAGTATAGCCGCGGTATAACCGCCCTTCAGCGAAATGCACCAGCTTCTGTATCTGTATAGCCGGTATACCCGCCCTTCAGCGTAACACACCAGCTTCGCAGGCACGCTTTTAGGTCACCCGACGCGATTTCAGGGCATTAAAACTGGATTTTCAGTTTATAAATCGTCAATAAAAATAAATGATCACTCGAAGATCGGAGTAATATGATACACGTATGTCGCGTAAAATGTATTGATTTCTTGTTGTGCCGAGTCATCATATACGTATTCCTAGAGGCATTTATGGCAATATCTGTTATGTTTGTAAATTGTCACATGATATAAAAGCTAGAAAATGTTCTTGTCGCAATCTGAAAGATAAATTGGTCAAACAAAGATCATTTAGTGGAAAATTACTAAGGTGTGTTTCCCTCCTAAATCATAAGTTATAAAGGTGTATGATGTGGATAGAAAAATTGAGATTTGTAACATAAAAGCCATAGTTGAATCATCGTAGTTTTCAGGTCAGCATGCGTGCTGATTGCTTATTGGCCTGTTGTTAATCTTATCTTAATTTGATTACCAAATTCAAATTTCGCTCATGATTTACAGGTGGCACCTACAGGTGCGTGAAACACGCCGTTCCAAGATGGCGAGTGTACATGGAAGGGAAGAACGAGCGCCGGTTAAAAATTCCGCCCAGAAAGACGCGCCATGTCCGCTTTGGTGGTAAGTTGTACTTTGAATTGTCGTAGATACTCTCCAGACTATTGTAGATAAATTTCATTTAAGTTAGATGAAGCAAAAAGACAGAATTTCGAAAAGAAATTGCGGCAACTGTCCCCACGTGTTAACGCTCCACTATGTTCAGCAACCGCTGGGGGTGCCATTGTGTGGTCCAGTGAATGTATCTCCAGTATTAAAGGAGGATAAAAAGGTACTTAGCACCGTATAGCTAATATAGCCACCAATAGTATTCTTTGAACATGGGTGGTTTACGAAAAAATACTGGATAAAAACTCTGGTAACACGGACACTTAAATTGTTACCATTACTTAATTAAATGGTGCTCTATGTCGAACTCTTCTTTCGTTTATATAAATTAAAGTCTGTCGATTTCTTTGATATCAATCGCTGTAATCATGATGCGGTATCCCTGCATTTCTAAGCGTGAATAACATACACACACAGACGCAAGGCCAACCAAATTTCAGCCAACGTCAATCATAAGGGTTGTACTTTGTAAATTAACCGCTAGGGGGCGCTTTTAGACTATTCACACATGTGACTCAAACAGCTTTGCTTGACTGTTAAACGTGGTTTGTTGTTGTCCTGTGTGTTTTGGTCAAATTCTATGCGTTTCAATGTAAAACAAGTGTTCCGAGGGCAAGCGCAGGCAAAAGGGTCACGATATTACCGTTTGTGTAGAGGATGACATGGATAAGGTGATAGATTTGAAAGGAGGGGAGACAGACGACCGGTAAGTTCGAGTGGGGAGGGGGTATGACCTGATAAATACACATGTTGTGATATGTAACATTAATTTGAGCCCTGTGTTAGTACTGCAGCTCCTATGCATGTTTTTCCAGATTCTGAATTGAAATATATCAAGGAGCTCCAAACCAAGGGAAATGTTTTCAGGAGTACTGTAGTCATGGCTTTTATGGTGTGGTGATTAGCCATTTTTCTTCTCTCATGTTTCTCCTCCTTCTCCTGCCATTTCTTTAAATGGAGGAAATATGTAACAGTTACAGATGTAAGTTTTCCCACCAACCCTCTGTTTTCATCATCATATGTCCTGTAATGCTAAATTTTAACTTATATGCCTTATATTTCCAGGAGTAAGACCTATTTTACACTTCAGCCTCACCAATTTAGTTACTTCATTTGGGACTGACATCCCATATCTCTAAAACCTAGAGCCTACTATATATGGTGACCATTGTGATGATCTTGTTCGAGAAGGTCATCTAGAAACTCTTTTTAAAGCATTGAAGAAGAAACTGAAACATATTTCACAACAACAATTTTTATTCCACCACACTGAATACTTTGTTCTGTTATTGGAAACCACCTTATATGTTGCAGGATCTACACAGTTATGTTACAATTAAATGAATTGTCAAAGTCAAACAAACACTGAACAAGTCTAAAAGTTCTTCCAGTCTTCACAGTAGAAAACTTTTAAGACAGACGCTATGTAACATTTCAGTATTTACAGGTTCATTGTACCCAGGGAAATTCCTCTTGCTCTTTTCAACAATTTAAGTTACAAAGAACAGTGGACCACAGCTTATTGTCCAGTCCAAAGGACTGTGGCCCTTTCCAGTAGTCATGGTGCATGTGGGTTTACTGACAACTTTAGTAACTGGGATTCGAACCCCTGAATTGTAGATCCAGAAGCAGGATCAGTTTAGATGGTCTATACAACCTAGTAGGTCACTGGATAATGAAGGTGATTAAACTTACAAAATCTTCTCCGAAAACAGGTGGTGACAAGAACAGGTGGTACCCAGGGTGCACCTCTGTCTGGCGGGTGTTCAAATCCAAGATGGCGGCCGTCAGTGGACAGGATGGAGTTAGAGGTTTGGGGGAGTTTCATCCTTGGGAGACGTGCTCCATCTTCTTAAGGTGGTGAGTGGTTTTCGAATCGTTTTTGACAAGATTTGGTGTGAATACAAGGCTTGAAGTCCTTTTTTTCTTCTTTCTTGCAATGTGAATAAGATAAAAATCTTATGTGTGGGATTGTTTTATGTTTGATGCTGCTTCAGTACAGCATTATTTCAGCAGTGTATCACTTTTTGCCGGCCAAAAGCTGATTATAGAGATGGCTTTAACTCACATTCATTTGGCACATTGGTTGGGACGGTAGTTGGTACATTGAACCAAATTCACAAACGATTTATAGGCCATGCCATTCTTGACTGTTTGTGGTTGCCATGCGAATACCATGCCATGCTTGACTGTTTCACTTTGTGGTCTTTCATGATTCATATTCTCATAGTATACATGTACATGTACATACGTAGTAGTCAAGAGCATTTGGTCAATACCGCCACATCAAAATTCTGTATCAGCACTTGATACACGAAAGAGAAATATCGTTTTCTTGCAACTGCATAAATTATGTAGATGCTCGTCTAAGCTCCGGGCATTGAGAGTTCGTACCCCGATGTTGGCGTTCCTTTTTAATTTACTTTTTAACATCCGTTATTTTGCTCTTTTTTTATTGTTGTTACTCAGGAATGTCAATAAGATAAATTTTTACTCTCTTGTATTTTTGCACTTCGATGCTTTGTCTGGAGTGTTTTGGCAAGCTAAGTTTGCCGGTTCGAATCCCGCTGTCAGCATTATTTTAATTTTCTTTTTAACAAGTCCGAAATGCCAGTTCTTTTAAATCTTCTCCCGGCTTGGTGATGGATGCCTTCATTTAGTTTTTTTCTGAGGCCGGCCCAGCTTTTATAAAAGCTTTTCTTGTTTCACTATTGTTGTAAGTAATCATCTTGTTGTTGCTGCAATATGTACTGATACGTCATTTCATGTTTCTTGTAGTCAATGTCTATGGAACAGTTCTTTTCTTTCTGAACTGTGCTTACATGTATGTACAGTACTTCAGTTGTTGTGACCCTTGGTAGGAGGTTCAGTGCACTTGAAAGAGAAATTTTGCTGCAGCTTCAATGTTCTTACTTGACTCAGTAAAACTAAGTTGTGGGTCATTGATATTAGGTAACTCTACTCTATTGGGTGATTCACTTTTTGCCATTTCCATGGACTTAAATTATTTCACATTGGGTCTGCATATGTATATACATTATTAACCCTTTGATTATTGCATGTCAACTTCACCTAATTTAGTCAGTAAAATTTGTTACTTTGCTTCTTAATAGTGGTTTAATATCATGAAACAGATATTACTTGGTGTTTTAAACCTGCAGCTAGTCACTCTATTAATTAATAACAACAAGAAGCAAGTCTGTGCTCCATTTCTGACATACACAGTTTCAGGAGTGAAATTAATGTAGTCAGGCTCAAGTTTTGCTCCTAATCCTCTGCTTTTGTCTCTGAATTTGTTCTTGAGAATGTTTGAGAACCACAGAAACGAATTGGTGTGGCTCTAATATTTGGGAAAGATGGTTGCGAAGCGATCATCATTTATCACCACAAGTTGCCCCTCCCCACCTGTAGCAACATGATTGGGTCGATGAATGTAAGCTACCGTGCGGACGTGCTCTCCCTCAGCTGTAAACATCTCCACCCGGCTGTTCCGTGTATCAGCCACAATCACACGCCCCGAACTGTCCACACAGATTCCTGAGGGAAAATAAAGATTCCCTGTTCCACTGCCTTTGCTGCCAAAACTGGACAGGTAGACTCCGCTCTTGTCGTACTTTAAAACGCGAGAGTTTGACTGATCTGCGGCGAAGATGTTTCCATTTTGGTCCACGGTAACTGACTGTGGTAAGCTTCCTCCCTCTGATCCAAACCCGTGCACATTACACGTTGGCGACTCCTGGGTGTAAGTAGGACTAAACCATGCAACCTTTACGCGGCTACTTCCTGATACCCTCAGACTGAGTATGATTCTGTCAGAAAGTTTGTGCCAGGCAATCCCATGGATTATAATGTCCTTGCATGTGAACTTGGCCAGGACATGGCCCTCTTTGCTGTACTGTTGGATGGCGTTTTCGTAAGTGGAACGTCGGCTAGGGGAACCTCTGTACAAAACGACCCACAGGGTGTTGTTGTGGCCCGTGCACACGGCACGCGGTTTCATGTTTCCTGTGGAGAAACTGCGAAGCAAACGTCCCTTCATGCTGAAGACCTGGATTCTTTTCTTGCTCTTGTCAGCCACAAATATCTCGTTAGTCAAGGACACGGCCAGTCCTCCCACAATCGGGCGGTAGCCTTTTCTTCCAAAGGTGACACTGTCTTTCTTTTCTGTAGGCAATTCAGAGTAAAAAGAAAAATAGTAGTTAGTGTAGCACTACTTTTTTAGACTTAAACCTTGTAATTTATTGTGTGCGTGTAAGTGTGTGTGTGTGCACGTGTGTGCACGTGTGTGTGTGTGTGTGTGTGCGTGTGTGTGTGTGTCTGTGTGTGTGTGTGCTTCTGTGTGTGTGTGTTTGTGTGCTTCTGTGTGTGTGTGTGTGTGTGTGCTTCTGTGTGTGTGTGTGTGCTTCTGTGTGTCTGCATGCATGTGTGATTTATGTTTATACATCATAGATTGGCCAAACTTTGATTTTCGTTTATTTATTGTGTATGAGTTAATTTGTTTTCCCGTGATCCCACCCCTCACTCATTACTGGACCTCTGGAAAGAGCGGCATGTACAAGGCCGACAGGGCCATCCAGTTTAAATAAAGGTGAATGAATGAATGAATGAATGAATAGGTCCAGGTCCTGTGCCTTAACTACATGTACTTCTAACTGTTTACCTGTATCAAGTAAATGTTTTAGAGGCACAGAGTGCTACCAAAAGAAGAGAAATAAATATTTGCACCCACCTTCACAGTGGTACGTTGCTTCCAGGTACAAGTGCTTCCTTCTCTTTGGACACGGGTCACCAAACATGCCCTTTTCTACTTTCACGTCACACTTCTGTAACCCCTGACATCTTCTTATTACACGGGACCTTGGGCTTACAGCAGATGGACTGTCAGAAAATACAAGAATTCATTTAAAGTATATTAAAACTGTCAGTGATCAGGGCTCAAAATACTTGGTGCATGTGCACCTTAGTGCACCCAAAATTGGAGTTGTGCACCCAATTTTTTTCTGTGGGTGCACCAGTGCACCCAAATATTTTGGTACTAGGTATTTTTGAACATATCAAATGTATAATGGTATGCAGGATATTCTTGGCATCTAAATAATAAAATCTTTGTCGTAGTATTTGTTTAAGATTTTGAAGTTTGCTCCATTTTAGATTCAAGCTCAAAAGAGGAGCTGTAAGATCTGTAATTAGGCTTTGTTCTATATGGTGCACCCAAAAATTTCATTTTCATTCCTTCACATTGTCCTTTGGAATGTATTTTCATAGGCATTTTGCAACATATAGTATCGTTTTTCCAATATATTTTTTCAATTTACAATATATATTTGCTCGTTTTGCAGCTTTGTATGATTTACAGTATGGTCAAAACCTTTTTTTTTTTAAACGGACACATGTCATCCATATAAACAAATCAATATGGCCTGCTTACAAATGTAACATGGTGGCCCTACCTGGTGTTGACTTCTTGACACTTTTTACAAGGCTTAAACCGACGCCAGAGGTTACTACACCCACAGCGAGTATCTTTTTTCTTCCGTCCGTAGAAGGCATCATCGATCACAATCAGCTCATTTGCTGCACAAGATAGTTGCATGGTCTTCCTCTGACAGGCTGTTTCTGTATCAGTGACAGCATCTTACCTTTAGCCCACACCAATCTACTAGTAATTTGTTGGTTCGATATTTTTTTTTCAGGAAAAATAATAGGGAACAGTGTATAAAATAATGTAAAAAAAAACAGAATGATGAAAATTCTATGGCAAGTCCTCTCATCCTAGCCGGGAAATAGGAAACAACATTAGGCCACACCAATTTAATTTCTTGGTTAACGGATTTTTCTAGAGAAATAATGGAGCGGGCGGGCGAAAAAAAAATTAAAATAAAAACAGGCCTAGGCATCCTATTATGGCCCAAAATGGTACGATAGGAGCCATCAAGTCAACACACCAGGCTGGTTCAAAATTTAAACAATGAATTTTGAACTTTAAATGATACCATTACATTGAAAGATGGAATAACTGTAACAACTAGGATGAAAAGGACTGTTTTCGACTGTTCAGGGCAAAATATTGAGCATTTTTGCAGTTGATTCTGAATTTTGATTTTCATTTGCAAATCAGAAAAAAATGAAGCGGGCGAATCCGTTAACCAAGAAATTAAATTGGTGTGGCCTTACCTCTGCGCTTGCAGTTGGTAGTGGGTGGGTTGCTGTCATTGATACCCTTTAGGCTGGGTCGGTTGATACTCTCAGTGATGATAGTTATAGTTGACAAGGTGCTAGTCGATTCTGTTGCATTCAATGCACTCAAGTTGTTGACTTGTTGCATAGGACTGTCCTGGAAAAACAACAACAAGAAGAAAGTAAAATTAGAAAGTTTGAGGTAACATTAGCAAAGCAAATGTAAATGTTCACCTGCACATTGGCTTGGTCAAGCCCAACAAAAGTACTGCTCTGTTTTTTATTTATTTCTAACACATTCATTTAACAATTTGTGACCAGCCCCTCTGTCCTACTATGCAATTGCTACATCATGTAATCCAACACCGCAGGGTGTCCTCTACAACACAAGTTACCATAGTGACAGCCGCCTGGTCCAGGTCATTGACCTTATTTGTTTGAAATGGAAGAAGAAGAAACTGAGCAAAAACAGTATATTTTCTTTCTGCAAACTAGGTAAACATAACTAGAAAGGTAACATTTGCTTTGCAAATGTATGATGTTTACCTTCGCATATGGTCTGCTCTGTTAATTCTTACTCAAATACATTTACATTTATGGTGACAGGAGTCTAAATCCCTCCTACTATAAAATTACATTATGTAACCCAACACCAGTTACCATGGTGAGAGACGTCAACAAATCAGGTCAGTGTTTGGAACAAAAAAAGAAAGGAAACATAGCAAAAACAATGTTTTCTTTTGGTAAGTTGTAAACATGAGCCCAGATAAAGATGTTTTCTTTCGGTAAGTTGTAAACATGAGCCCAGATAAAGATGTTTTCTTTCGGTAAGTTGTAAACGTGAGCCCAGATAAAGATGTTTTCTTTCGGTAAGTTGTAAACGTGAGCCCAGATAAAGATGTTTTCTTTCGGTAAGTTGTAAACGTGAGCCCAGATAAAGATGTTGACCTTACCGCTTGCATGCCTTGGCTGTTTTCATACATCCCAATGATGACTCCTGATGTTATTGCTCCGACTAGTAGCATGACAACCACCAAAGTAGGGAATATTGTCGTACTTCCATTCACTGCAAAACAGCCTTTTTAAAAACAATTGTATTGTTTTCTCAAAAAATGGCAACAACAGATATCATTATGCATGGCACAGGCACAATAATCAAATAATACCTTGACCTTTGTCTTCCTAAGACTTATCAGCATACCAAATATCATCACAAGGCATAAAGGCATTCTGAAGTTATGCTGACTACAAAGTTGCAGAAACACACACAGACAGACACACACACAGACACACACAAAAACAATACCTCCATTTTTCATGGAGGTAAAAATAATAATTTGTAAACATAGTCATTGATATCACAGGAAATATTTGTTGAAAATGGAAACTAATTATTAAGTAACATAGAGGAAAACAAGTCATAATCTTCAAAACAACAAATGATGAATACAGTTATTCACTAGATACAAAAATGTAGTTTTAAACATCAACCAGATTCCAAGGCTTGTGTCACAGGTCTTTTAGTGTAATTCATGTATAGCCAGCTGCTGCCATGCTGTGTGCCTGGAGAAAAATTGTTTCTCATGTAATGATAGAATGATTATTACTCCGTGAAGGAGGTCAGGACCTCCAGACGGAGTGTTGTGAAGAGCCGTTTTTTCGCTGTTGTGCATATTGTACTGTTGTGGCGAGTATCTTTTGGGATTGTGGTTTGCACCTACTGCGATACCTTGTCAAATGAATAATATGTAGTAAATGAAAGATATTGTTATGAAAGCAGACTTTGTTCATCTCTTTAGATTATCGTGTTGTTGCTTTTATATAGCCTGTGTTTAGACTAGTTAGTCTGCAACTGTTTCCCCAAGGGGGCGGCAAACCTCTGGGCAGGTGGCCACCGGGAGCGCGATTTTTTAGTCAGGCTAGATTATTAGACCAGGGATTTAGCCATTTTTACTATACGTTGTTACCAGTTGTTAAGTGATCACACACTGTTTACATACACTATTACTGTTCTCAATCTGCAAAATATAAAACGTCACGGAGAATTGTCGCCTATGGACTTTATTTTTACCCTAGCAGTTTTATGATTTGATATTGGAGTAAATGCTTATTTTTGAAACATCCCTATAAGGTCGATGAGATGTTTTTGCCCAGTATCTGACCGGCGGTAGTAACACTCATGGTGCTGGCCGCAACTGTTGCTTGATTTTGGCCTGGCCAGTCGCACTTTTAAAACTAGAGGTCGGAGATCTCATGTCTTTGTCAGAGGTACATCGTTCTAGAGAAATTAACATGCATATTCTTCACCCTTTTTAATAATCAATTTGGTCTAAAGAACAAAAAAAACACCCTGAAACGGTTTGCCGCAGATTATACAGATGCGTCGTCACCCGTGTTAGCCCCCCCCTCCCACGTTCAAGAAATTCTTACTGTGTTGAAAGTGTCACGACAGCCGCAAAATATAATAAGAGAAGATGTTATAAAGGAAAGAATCAGAACAGGGTGACTACTGCTGTTTTGTTAATTTGTCTTTATGACAAATAGAAGACTTGTTTCTTGTGTTCTTTGTGTCCTAACATTTGTACTTCTACAGTTAGTATATTTCCAAATCTAGGCATCTCGTTTTTCGGCCCTTCGTGTTTTTATTGCGCGCTTGCCTTAAATTTAAGGTAATTAGATTTAAGGTCTCCAGTGGACGTCATCCATAGCAATTACTTGGTGTGGCCGTAGAAAATAACCTGACATACAGTACCGTTCGCGTTATAGTTAACCGGGTACCCCGTACTAACGAGTTATTTTTTCGTCAGAAAATGGTTAGAAAATCGTCAGTATTTGGTTAGATTTTCGTCAGAAAATGGTTAGAAAATTGTCAGAAATTATTTCTAACGCGTTACCGTTTGCGTTAATGTGATAGGGTCGGATTTCATGTTTGTTTTGCGCGCCGACAAGACAATAGCAATTTGCCACCTCCTGGGGCGTCCGCTAATGTGTTGCGATGTTGCCCCTTGAAAAATAACAGCACCAGAGGCAAGTGGACATGTGATTCGTAAAATAACTTTGTGGTTTATCCATGTGTCGACTGTGTGAAGCGAATTGTGCTATCTTTTAATGCTATTCTATAGTTATTTCTAGCGGAAAATTACGTTGTGTAATACAATGTATGTCAACAAAGTGTAGCAGTGGGCAGACGATGTCTTGTACATTTTGTACCAGCGGCGGCCTACCGCTCTCACAGGACGTCATGGGACGTGACGAAACAAGAAATATCTGCCGTAGAAGAAATACAAATCGGTAACTCATGCCTTAAATTCACGGCGGTTTTTGACACAAAAGAAAAATTATTATAATTTTTGTAAGGCGCGCGGCTTACTAGTACTAGCGGCTTTAATACTCACGGTAAAATGTACCGTCACTCCCGGCGCAAGGACTCGGTTCGCCAGCTGAGGACTTTCCACAACCATGATGATATCATAGTTAATAAAGGAATATATAATAGATCTATCATGTTGAAATGATGATTGTAAATATACATGGTTCTATTTAATAGCGGTAGTTTTGTTTCTTATTTTGAGGGGGGAAACTGTCAAAAATCAAGGGAACGCAAACTGGGATCGGCTCACTTCCGGGTGCATAATGCCAAAATTTCTCGACGATTATATAAAAATGACCACTCATTTGCCGCCTACGGTAGCGTGTACATGGTAGTGCGATCATATCGTGCCAAAGTCAGCGTCAAACGTCAGAAAATCCCCGTAAAAATATAGTTGCAAAACACATTTCCCGCGCACTCAGGGCCGGTCGCCCTGGCCGCTGCCGCCCTGTGTGCAGCATGCTCATTATAATATGCAAGTAGCTACGCTCTGATTGGTTCACCTTAGATGACCTGCGCTGTGATTGGCTAGAACGAAGCCCGTTGCATGCTGGGGCGCCCTTCCCCGCGCGAAATGATCTCGAGAGAGCCACATTTACGCTGGTTTCTACCTTATTTCTACGTCACTAATTAGCAACATCCTAGTGACGAAATGCGTACTCAAAAGAATTTTCGGGAAAAAAAATATATGTACATGTGGATTTGTGGTGCCTTTGGCGTAATTTTGTTGGTCACATACAACGTAATGTAACACGGAAGTGCATGGAGTGGGAGTCGCGGCACGGCTTTCCGTCCCACTCTAAACAAAACTCCAAGGACATAACAAAACTCCCCAAAACTGGTCAATAATTAGCCATAAAAATGTTGGTGAGCACGTGTAAATATGCTGCCTTTTTTCGAGTGTTATAGGAATTTTCCGCGATGTTTTTGCACATCCCTAACGTTACCTCACGCCCGCCGCCCGGCGGACCGGGGCATTTATAACTTCAGATCATCTACGAGGGGTGATCCAGAAGTTCTCGGCCTCTCCCAAAAAACGTGATGGCAGAAAAATTTTTCTTACACTATTTTTAACATAGTCTCCTCTAACTTCAATGCACTTGGTCCAGTGATGTTCCAGCTTTCCTTTCCCTTGTGGAAGAATATTTCGTCTGAAGCCCTTAAAAATGCCTAAACCACATCAATGACGTCATCATCACCATCAAAACGTTGACCACGTAAGTGGAACTTGAGTTTAGGAAACAGGTAGAAGGCCCACGGTGCTAGGTCAGGTGACTAGGAAGGGTGAGATAAGACTTCAAAGTCACATTCGTTTGCTGCTGCCACTGACCCCTGTGCCGTGTGGACAGGTGCATTGTCAGCACGTCAACTCGGAGCTTTTCTCCCCTTTTCTCTGTGATTGTTGCCCTCAAATGCCGCAATTCTGGTGCACAGTACACCCCATTGATGTTTTGACCCTTTTGCAGGTAGTCAATAATGATTACCCCCTCACTGTCCCAGAAAATAGAGGCAAAAACCCTTTCAACGGGTAAAACTCGCTTGGGATGCCGGGAACCCTTCTTCGTCAATTATTTGCTCTGATGTTTTGATTCGGGGTGAAAGTGGTGCACCCATGCCTCATCTTGGGTGACTAAATCGTTTGAGTAAGTTGCCTTCATGGACTGAATTCGTTCCTTGAAATGTCCAGCCTGTTTAACGTGTGATGTTCAGTCAACATTCTAGGCACCCATCATGCAGACAGCTTGCTCATCCCCAGGATGTCTGACAAAACATTGTGAACTGTACCACAAGTCAGGCCAAAGAACCTGCTACATGTTGGACAGTCTCACATCTGTCATTTACTACCATGTTATGGATGGCCTCAACTGGATTGTCCATGGTGCTGATTTGTGTCATCCTGACATATGTTCATCTTTTGTGCTCTCCTTGACGCCCTTAGAGCTAGCAACCCAGTTCTTTGTGGTTAAATAAGAAGGGGAGTCATCACCAAGTGACTTGATCATGTCTTTATGGATTTCCCTAAGAGACATAGCTTTTTATCGATACACTTGATCATAGCACACGCTTCTGGTGCGGCCATTTTGTGATTTGCCCTCACCCACCCCATTTTCACGGGGTGTCACGTGCTAATTAATGAATGTAAAAATTTGCATTTTTGTGTGCAGTGATGTAAGACGTCATAGTACACAGTTATACCAAAGAATACGCGTTTGACCTCTATTTTCTAGGTGAGGCCGAGAACGTTTGGATCACCCCTCGTAGGTTTGCTTATTCGGTGGTAAAATAAGTTAACAGAGAAAAACAGCAAAACAAAGTTGACAAACTATAGAAACGCTTACCTGGGCAACAGTGACAAAAGAAAATGTCGATCTAATTGAATTGCGCCGATGATCGTAAAACGTTTTAAACGTTACAATATAGTAAAATGCAGGCTAGATCAACGTTCCTTCCGCTGTTCCAGCGGTGTGTATCGGTAATTTCCCGCCCCGCATGAGGTAAATTAGTACTCCTCCCACGATTCCTGTGATGTTACCGCGCCTGCATATGAATGGAGAAGTCTGACGAAAAAGAAACGCGTTACTTTCGGAAAAGTAACGGAAAACTTTCGGAAAAGTAACCAGTTAATAACGGAAAACTAACGGGAAAAAAATGCGCTAGTAACGGCCGTTAGGGTAACTATAACGCGAACGGTACTGTATGTCCAACCTATCCTCCCCCTGCTGAAGTTATAGTACAATCCCTCAATGTAACGTCATTTGATCCCATCCCATTATGGGGTTCCCCGGCTATATCCAGCTGTCGGCTGTCTCCAAGCAGATGTAGGTGGGGGATTTCTAAACATAAAAGGTCCTATTACGGGCACATAACGACCTCCACGACTCTCACCTTTGAACTAAATCTTGGAGACCACCACAGTAACATGCCTAACAAATTTCATTAACTTCCATCCACACATACAAAAGTTACCCTGCTCACAAGAAAAATTAACAAAATGCCCCCTGTAGTCACAACGAAACCCCCCACGAAGCTCAGTAACAAACTTAACCTTGGTCCCGACAATAGTAAGCACCACACCAAGAATTATAGTCAACATTTTACAAATACTTGAGTTATCTTGCTAACAAGCCACAAACACAAAAGGTGCACTAACGTAACGCACGGACCCCCCACGAAGCCGAAACTTGTACTTGACTTCGGCCTCAACAGCGGTAATCTGCCTGCCAAAAATCATGGACGTCGAATCATGCCTTCCAGAGTTATATCGCAAAATTTGCAGTTCCCCACACTCCGGCGAGACAATTTCATAGTCCTTCTGACGAAGACAATAAGTAACAGGAACGGTAAGACGGTGGGGCCGTCTTTGTTACTAGTGACACGATCATGATAGTCCGATCTTTATGTGAATGCAATGATTCTGTGTAATTAAAATGACCTTCGAACTTGAAGCACAGTATCTTTACACGCCCTGGGAGCAGTAATGGATTTAGGTCTTTTTATGTTTTATGGTTGTGACGCGCCCTCATTGTATTAACCGTTGCCTAGCGTTGACGCTTGGGGTTGTTTTTGTTGCAATATATTAACAACTTCACGGAGGATTGTCGCCTATGGCTTCTTGTTCAGATTACAGTTACTACAGAATATGTGAACAACAAGCTAGGCTAGATCTTTACAGTGTCATAAGATTAAACAAAACAAATTTATGTTGGACCTACCTTTAAGTTTCTTCACGTTCAGTGGATTGCCAGGCTGGTGCACATCAGAGTCATTCCTAGTGTCTCCCGAGTCCTGTTCAATGTCTGCTCCGTACATTGGATTTGTATGAAGTTCCTTGGCACTGGGAGTATTGCGAAGCCTGTGTACATGTTGAGTGGTGTCAGGTCTAGAGTCATCTGAAGCCTGTTGGCGAACGTTTGTTGTTGCACTGAGATAGGCTTCATGATCAGACATGTTTGCAACAGCATAAGGTTCCATGTCACCATCATCAGTCACTGCTTGCATGACTTGGGGTCCGTCGTCAGTGTTTCCAACAGTGTCGGTATTTCCTTCATTTTCTGCTATCGGATCAGATATTACAGATTTTACTTCAGTGGCCTCTGGGGTGGGGACATCATCATCGTTATCATCTGCCGCATAGTAATCCTGATTTTCGCTAGTACGTTTAGATTCATCGCCAGCTACATACGTAGCCTCCAACCTGTCTTCTCCCTCACTACTGGGACAGTTTGGGCCGCATGTTGAGATTCTTGTTGGCTCTGCGGCATCTTCTGTGTACAGCACATCCTCATCAGAGCATAGAGTATCTTCATTTTGTCCTGGGCTTCTCCGCTCCTCTGGATCGTTTGTACGATATACCGGATTGTTCTCTCCTCTGATGGACTGGGACATTTTTAATTTGAATCTGTTGGCAATGTCAGAATGAGAACAAGATTTTATTTTTGGTATACAATATTGTAATTAGTGGTCTTGTGGTTAGGGGTGTTGATTCTGAAGGTTCTGGGTTCGAATCCTGGTGTTGTGTACTTGGTAAAGGTACTTTGCACCTACATGTATGTCCTCACTAGAATAAGTTGAAAATGACCTAGCTAGCTTCAGTTACGTTAGGGACGTCCTCTTGGATCCAATGTAAAACTGGAGTTTTCGTGTTTGAGGAGAGACATGCCTATATGTAGAGTGTTATACATTTTTTTTATTATGCAAATCTGCTTCTATCAAAGAAGTATTCAAATCTGTTTTTTTATACAGTGATTACTGTCCCATGAACTGTTTTAGATTGGCACCCATGCAAAATCTATGCATAAATCTCACTCACTCACTCACTCACTTACTCATTCACTCTCTCATTCACTCACTCACTCACTCACTCATTCACTCTCACTCACTCACTCACTCATTCACTTTCTCATTCACTCTCACTCACTCACTCACTTACTCATTCACTCTCTCATTGACACTCACTCACTCATTCACAGTCACTCACTCACTCACTCACTCACTGACTCAAGGCCGCATACTTGACCTCAGGGAGCATAGACCAAATGCAGACTAAAAACACATGATTTTGTTTATGATCTAAATACTGCATTACAAATTATCATACATTAATGTATATCATTATAAAAAACAGTTGGGAGAAAAGCAGGTCTGATCCAGGTCTGTATAAGGCAGACTAATTATGGGATTGAGAAGTTTTGATGTTATACATGTTTAATGTACAGTTGTACTTAAAAGAAAAAAGAAAGATTTAGTATAATATTTATGTATAGACACTCCATGGACACCCCCAGCCCAGCTTCAACCTTCCTTTGTCAGAACTAGAAGCTATATAGGACCTTGTTATCTCGTACAGCAGTGCAATAGATTATTAGGCCACACCAAGTAAATTTTATGGATGACGTCCTTTGGAGACCCTAAATCTAATGCGAAAGGGCGAAAAAAAAAAACAAGAAGGGCCCTATAAAACAAGATGCCTATATTAGAAATATACTAAGAGATGACAAATGTTAGGAGACAAATTGGATTAGGTGAAACAGTGTAACAAGCAAGAAGTCTTTTATTCATCATCACAGCAGCAATAAATCAGGTGGAACAGCAGTTGTCGTCCTGTCCTGTTTTCGTGTTACGGGTTTCACGTCAATCTGACAATTTGCGGCACTGTCGTGACTCTTTGGTCATAGTAACAGGAAGGGGAATTTCTTGTTTTTTTTTCTAGAAACATGCCAAAATCAATGCGCGTGCGGACGTCATCCATAAAATTTACTTGGTGTGGCCTTATAAAACAAAATGTTGATACTGCTACTTCTACTCAAGGTAAAATTCATAATAGCTTACATGTAGCTGTACTAAAGTAAAACAGTACTCCAATAGGATTTCTCTCCATATCTTTCCTCATTTAAACCTGCTATAGTCACATTTATCAGCACTTGTATCCAATACATACTTGTGAACATCTGTGAAATTTTAAAGTAAGGCCACACCAATTTAATTTGTTGGTTCTCAGATAGATTCGCCTCTTCTTTTTTTCTGATTTGCCAAAGAATATTGAATCAATTCAAAAATACTCATATTTTGCCCCCAACAGTTGAGAAAAGTCCTTTTCTTCCTAGTTGCTACTGTAACAGTTTTTCCATCTGTCAGTTGAGTAGTTTGATTAAAAGTTCAAATTCATTGTTTAAATACCCAGCTTTTTCAGTTGATTTCATGGGTTCTATTGTAGCATTTGGGGCTATAATAGGATGCCTAGACCGGTTTTTATTTTTTTATTTTTTTGCCATCGCTTCATTTTTTTTAAAATCTGAGAACCAGCAAATTAAATTGGTGTGGCCTAAAGATCAAGCCAGAGGAAAAGACAACTAAATATTTTACCTGATGATTGGCAAGATATTGTGGTCCTGTTTTTTAGTATTATCCTTTGGTTCTTTTCTATTTTTTTTAGATTTTCACGTCAAAATCGTTTGACTTAAATGCCAACTGAAAATTTCTTCTTAAGCTCAGAGATGTAAACTTAATTGTTGTCATACTTTACCTTAAGGTAGTGCCAATAATGATGTCATCCCATAGTAGTATTGATTAGGTTATATACATTGTGATAACATAAAGTAAACAACATTTAGACATGTGGTACATTCTTCCTATAAATATACTTTTTAACTCGACACTTACCCTAAAGGAAGGCTTGAAGTCTGCTTGGTTGATACTGAACTGGAACCAGATGTTTTGGAGACTGTTCCTGGCAAAATTACTGGTCGAGAAAAACAGTTTTTCTCCAGTCGGTGCCTGGTGAATTTGATGTGTTCTGCTCTCAACTCAGTCTGGTAGACTAATAAGTAGATTAAGAACTGCTGGTACATTTGTAGTGTGATGAAACAACGTGCACATATTGAACTTTTTTCTTTCATCTCATCTCATCTGGATGAGTTGCTTGGATGTTTATTCATCTTTTTTTTCACCATAAGCGCACACCAATTTATTTCCTTGGTTCTTTAACATTTCTTAGGGAAAATTCAGTAACTACAAATGGAATCAATGTGTAGTAACTGTCCTTGGTGCTGAACTTCTGGTTACACCTATATATACCTTCGTTTTCTGTGATTTCTAATGAAAATTGAGCAAGAGGGCACCGTGTAGTACCTGTCCTTGGTGCTGAACTCATGTTTACTCCAGACTGTTTCCTTGGTTTTCTGTGATTTCTAGTGAAAATTGAACAAGAGGGCACAATGTGTAGTACTTGTCCTTGGTGCTGAACTCCTGGCTACACCAGTTCCTTGGTTTTCTGTGGTTTCTAGTGAAAATTGAACAAGAGGGCACAATGTGTAGTACTTGTCCTTGGTGCTGAACTCCTGGCTACACCAGTTCCTTGGTTTTCTGTGATTTCTAGTGAAAATTGAGCAAGAGGGCAAAACCTAGTGTACCAGTAGACATGGACCAAAATCCACTGACTGTTTTATGTCGATATTCCTTGTCAGCATTATGTCTTTTTTTTTTTAAACAAGAGGCTGAAAAGTAACTAGGTATGGCCTAATCAAAGTTTGTAATGTCCCCTGGTCGAGCTGCTATATGGGAGTGGCATCCTGGTAGCCAATAGGATCATAGTGTTTTTCAATCACAATCTGTACCTTTTATCTCTACCAAGAACATTTCAGTAAATTCATTTTCGTTTTGCTACATAGACTGTATATGCATGTGTTACTGTTGTAATTATAAGTTCCTTCTGCTGTATTGTAAAGAACTGGTTGCACAATTTAAGACATTTGAAGAGCTACATACTTTATTGTCCTGCCTCCAATACTCCTAGCACCAGATAGAGTGAGGTTCCTACATGTAGGTCGGACTGTTCTACTTCTAAGATATAGATTTTGTAACAGGTAGTGGACAAACGGTTCACAGTGGATTCACAACAGTTACTTTGTATTTGTGGGTTCACAACAGTTACATGTATTTTATGTTGCCTCTGGAATGAAGTAAATATGTATGTAAGTTTTCCCACCAACCCTCTGTTTTCATCATCATATGTCCTCTAATGCTAAATTTTAACTTGTATTTACAGGAGTAAGACCTCTTTTACACTTCAGCCTCACCAATTTAGTTACTTGATTTGGGACTGACATCCCATATCTCTAAAACCTAGAGCCTACTATATATGGTGACCATTGTGATGATCTTGTTTACATCAAGAAGGTCATCTAGATACTCTTTTATAAGAAGAAACTTAAAGAAAATTTGACAACAGCAATTTTTATTCCACCACACTGAATGTAACAAACAACTTATGTTCAATCTTGAAGTCCATCTGTGTTGGTAGAAGTCATTATGAACAAGATTGAACTGTAATTGCCAACAGACTTTCTGCAACCTATGATCCACTGCTCACAGAGTCACGTACGTGTGTTATCTGCGGTGAAGCGGTGGATTGCTCATTCCTTGACAAAGACTGGAATTGTACAGTCAAAAATTTGGATGAGTCCAAGTTTGTTGTGTTGACAATTACAGTTCAATCTTGTTCATAACTTATGTTCAAGGATAGTATTTCTGTCACCCCTATAGTACTGAAAAACATATACAAAGTAATACAGCCTTTTTACATGGTTCGAAATTCGTTTTGGGTAATACATGTAGGTGCACTGGTGCACCCAACCTAAAAAATAGGGTGCACACAAAAATTTGGGTGCACCGTATAAGTAGAATGTCAGCAAAAACAAACTGTTTCATTTCTCAATAAATGTACAATAACAATCATTTTTTTTATTTTATTGACCCTTGGATATTAAGCTGCTATATACAACAACTATACATTTAACATCTTTACATACGTACACCTACGAAAATATTTGGGTGCACAGCTCCAAATTTGGGTGCACTAAGGTGCACATGCACCCAGTATTTCAAGTCCATAATATGACAGGATTGCAAATACAGCTCTGATATTTCTATAAAAATAATATGCTGTGCTATAGTCAAAAATAGCTCAAGATGTGAAAAAGTCAGTCGTGGTCGGGGTCAGTGATAATTGTCAGTAAACAAAGTGACAAAAGAATTTTGAGGGTCCAAGTTTGTTTAGTCACATTTCGCTTAGGCCACACTGACTTGAATTTTATGGATGACATCCTCTGCAAGCAAGATATGTTGTTTGTGCAACATGTCTGGGCAAAAAACTGTTGCCACGTAATTTACAGAGGCCGACACTTGACGATGCCCAATGGCAGTGTTTTCTTCATGTTGTAGTGCAAATTTTTGACTGTACAATCACAATAAGTAGTACACCAAATCACTGGCCAACCAACAGCTCACATGAAGAAAGAAAGAAAGTGATCTCGATCCAGCTTTAGCTTACTGAAGAGCTGCTCTTCCACTGGTTCTAACATGCTATGTACAATATTTTATTTACAGGT